GACGACGGCAGAGATTAATTACGAGATACATGACAAAGAACATGCTAGCCATTATACGAAGCCTAGAGGAGTGGAGAGCTGAGTTAGAAGGATTGCAGAGGGAAGAGCCATTCGATATACTCACTGATCACCGTGCACTGGAATACTTCATGACCACAAAGCGGCTTAATCCAAGACAAGTGCGCTGGGCAGAATTCCTCTCTCGTTTCCATTTTTTGATTCGGTATCGACCAGGAAAACGGAATATGCCTGCAGATGCCCTCTCACGGCAGGAAGATTTGATTAGGGCCCAACGTAAAGAGAGAGACCGCTGCTGCACCCAGGCTTTATTGAGACCTGAATGGTTGGAAGACGGTGTCTTCCCTAAAGCTGAAAAAGAACTATTGTCTGGAACAGAGCTACTAGCTATGAATGAACCCCTGCACATTACGGACCAGGTGCGCCAGGCAAATCGAGACTCTGAGTCGCTACACGAGTTGCGAGAGAAGTCTCATACAGGAGAGGATGGCTGGAAGATGAGTGAGGGTTTACTTACCTATCAAGGACGGCTAGTGGTTCCAGACGAAGGAGACCTACGCGCAAGGCTACTGGATGAAGTGCATCGCCAGCCGTCAACTGCACACCCTGGACGAGGAAAGACTCGCGGCTTGGTACGCGCTAGATACTGGTGGCCAACCTGGAGTAGGGATGTTGACCGATACGTGGATAATTGCTTGGTATGCAAGCGAACAAATACATGGCGGGATAAACCACCTGGTCTTCTGAATCCCCTCCCAATCCCAGAGCGCCCCTGGCAACACATCTCAATGGATTTCCGCTCATTCCCCAAGATAAGCGAGGGTACAATGCAGTGTTCGTCATTGTGGATCGACTGAGCAAGCGACCTATCTCAATTCCATGCCATAAGACTGTCACCGCAAGGGAGATGGCGCACTTGTATGTGGAGCACGTTTATAGATGGACGGGACCTCCTGACACAGTGGTATCAGACCGAGGAGGTCAATTCATATCTGAATTCTGGGATGAGGTTTGTAAAATACTGAGGATAAAGATCAAGCTCTCTACCAGCCACCACCCACAAACTGATGGGCAAACGGAGATTGTTAATCAGTATATGGCCCAGCGGCTTCGACCATTTGTCTCCTATTACCAAGACAACTGGTCTGAGCTGTTGCCCATGATGGACTTTGCTGCAGCAGTGCTCCCTCATGAATCCACAGGGCTCTCACCATTCGCTGTCGACCGAGGATATGAGCCACGAGTATCGTTTGACTGGACGGCTGCCTCACCCCCGCGAAAACTCAAGCTCGAAAGGAAAGAGGCTCAGAACTGGCTTCGGCATATGGAGAACATCTGGAAACTCGCTCGCACGAAAATGGAGGCGGCACAGCATCGCCAGAAAACACAGGCAGATCGGCACCGAAGAGAAGTTGATTTCGGCATAGGGGACTGGGTAATGGTGACAACCCGGGACTGGAAGACTGAACGACCTAGTCGAAAGCTCGCAGACCAAGCTGCCGGACCCTACCAGATTATTGAGAAGGTTGGGAATTCCTTCAAATTGAACCTCCCGGACAGTATACGAGTCCATCCAGTGTTTGCACCAGAAAAGCTCCGCAGAGCTACGTCGACCGAACCACTGCAGGGACAGATTCCAGATGCGCAACCGCCAATAGAAGTAAATGGACAAGACGAATGGGAGGTAGAGCAGATACTTGCCTCAAAACTCCGCTATGGCAAGCTCTACTACCGTGTCAAATGGATTGGCTATGACGATGACCCGAAGTGGTACCCAGCGAACTTCTTCAAGAACGCACCCCTACGGATCCGAGACTTTCACGCGGAGCATCCAGATGCCCCAGGCCCACCAATTCGGCTCCCAGTTTGGTTAAAAGCAGCCGAAGACGATGAACACCTTGAGGACCATACAGACGATGACCGCGCCCAAGGGCGGAAGCCAAAGGCCACGAGTCGGCGCCCGCAAACGGTTGAAGAGGATCTTTGAATTTAGGCTCGACCAATCAGGTGGCGCAGCGGGAATATAGCAAACAACCTCCCAATTATGGTAGGGGGTCTGCAGCAACTAATGAGGTCTCTGATTGGTCTGGACAAAATTTGACCTTACCATCGCCTGAGGGCAGGCTCTATTTTGGAGGGGGGGGGTGATGTGACGATTCAACTTGCCTGTCGTCACGTGAGCGGTGAGAAAAGCGGTGAGGTATAGGTACGGCAGAATACTTGCATAAATCGCCTCGCTAGCGACCTGGCTCCCTTCCTTCTTCTCCTCTCCTCCCAGCCTAGTCTCTTGTAATTTAGATCGCTCCTAGTGATAAGAAACTGCTCTATTGCCTGGAATTGGATCCGTCACACATGGACTGATTGGCTTTTTGATTAATTGATTGACCGAGCCATATCAAGCTAATATATATTTTCTTCCTACCTACTGCTACTGGTAAAGAGAGATCCGGTGGATAGATACTAGAGATGGGCAGTTTGGCTGTCCTGTCCTGTCCTGTACTGTACAGTATGTTCGAAATAGAAAGAGAGTATCTACCTAGTCAGTCATCGTAGAAATTCAACTTGCAACTTTTCCTACTCCAGAGTAACTACTACCTTAGCCTAGTCAAATCACGAGATGAGAGGTACACAGGGGTAGCAATATCGAATCACCTAATCACAACACAACACAACACAGCTAGCTGTACATTCGCATTCACAAACGCAGACGCAGATGCCGACGCGGTCGCCGCTGCTAAACACGGAATTTTCCACGTTATCCATGTTAATTATCAGAGGATAGGATATCGCTGCTTGTACAAGTAGGTTAGGTAGAGTAGACAGGGTAGGTTAGGTAGGCTCGGCGGAGACGTCGGGCCTGGGTATGTTCGACAAACAGGAAAGAAGAAAAAAAAACAGATTCAACAGAAACAGCAGATAGTGACCGGTCCAGAGAAAAAGCAAGAGAAATCGTATCATCGTCCATAATCCAGAGAAAAGAATCAGATCAAATCAATCAAATCATAGATATCGTTTAACAAACAAACAGAATACCACCGCGCCGAACACCCACCAAACAATGCAACAAGGTTAAAGAAAAGAAAAAGTACGTTTCAGCTCATGCCACCGTTACCCGCAGCGTCAACTTCGAGTTCCGCTGCAGCGCCATATCCAGATCGTTGTCGCTCAGCATGTCGACAAACCCGCTCGTCTGCTCGTCCTTGTACTGGATCACCATCTCGTCGTTGTTCACCTTGAGCCGCTCCCGCAGCTTGTCCTGCAGCTGTTGGAAGTTGACGTCGTTCGACACGCGCAGCGCGATGATATCGTCCTGGAAGAACACCTTTACTTTCATCGCCCCCGTCGTGCTGGAGGTGTTGGATACCTGCGTCAGCGAGCTGGGCTGCCGATTCATCGGCGGCTGCAGGTCCGTCCGCGATTGCGAGGCATTGCTGCTTTGCGACGCCTGCGAGCGCTGATGAGGCGGCCGGTTTTGAGCACCCGCACTTGCACTGGCACTGGCACTTGCACTTGCTGGGGCCAAACTCGCTGGCGCGCTCACTGGCGCCGCATATCCAGCGGTCGACGTACTCATGTGCCCTTGCGAGGACTGCCGCGAGTCGCGCGAGGCATCGTGGGCCGACGACTGCTGCGACTCACCCGACAGACGGCAGTTGTTATCCTCCATCGCACTCGGATCAATCTCAAAGTCGCCCGGACGAGGCGCGAACAGTTCGCGAACCAGCTGGCAGCGCGAGATGTGGGGCGGCATGGCGAGCAGCTTCTTAATGTACTCATCCAGATTCTGGCGTCGTCCGTTGGAGATGGCATCTGTGACGTGCGTGACCGGCCCCGGCATGTACGGCAGCGTCCGTGGCTTGCCCTTGTTGCCGGCTTCTTCCTCGAACTGCGCCAACAAGGCGATCTGAAAGTCGTAGAAGTCATGATAGTATCTCGACAATTCCCAGCAACTGCCGTCCTCCATCCTCGCCTCGATAATGTACCAGTATTTGTCGTTGTCGAAACAGTACCGCGGAATCGACGCGGATACCGGGGCCAGGAGCTTCCTGTGATTCTGCTGTTGCTGCGGCGGGGCCTGATGCTGCTGTTGATTGTATACTGGTTGATGAGGATATGCTGCCTTGCCAGAAGTTCGTTGATTGTATCCCTTCATCATCCATTAGTTTCAATTACCGACATTTCGACTGTTCTGGCGAACTCACATGGTCGTGGCTGACGTGGCTGCCGTTGCTGTGCATGGACATCTTCTCCATGCCACTGGTGACGGACTGCACCGACGTCGCAGAGTCCAGCTTGCCCAGGGTAATGCTGCTGTTCTTGTATTCGGCAGTCATCTTCTTCCACTCCTCCACGCGGGGCACGCCCGCTCGCTTGACCGCCTCGAGGGGATCGGCAACGGGCAGGCCGGTGGTCATGTCCCTCAGCTCCACGAACGACACGGGGATCAGACCGGGACCACCGAGGCGACCGATCGGTTTGGCGACGAACCACTCCGGGTTCGAGATGGCGATGACGATGATGGCCTCACCGGCCTTGGCCTCCAACTCGTCGGGCCGTTCGGCGTGGAAATCATACTGCACGACGCCATAGACCATGGCGGTCGCGCTTTTGCCGAGCGACGACATCCTGGAGCGGCCGCCTTGCTGGGTGGTGGTCGTCGAGTCGCGTCGGTCGTGGACAGCACGCTCTGCGAAACCCGAGTCGTGCGGCTCCTGCTTGTGGCCGTCGGACGAGCCGGCGCTGTGTCGCTCAGTCTTGCCGATCACCTCGAAGTACGAGACGGGGACGAGGCCTCTGGCGTTGGGGATGAGCGGGTTGCACGCTTCGTACCACTCGGTGTCGTCCTCGCGGCTGATGACGTGGAAGAAATCGCCCTTGCTGAAGGCCAATTCCTGGGTGTTGCCGGGCGGGGGCTCGTAGTCATACAACGCTTTGATGACCTGGGGGCGCGCAGGGCGGCAATGGTCAAAAGGGGCGGCGCGAGCGGAAGTGAATCAGGGCAGCAACTCACCTTTTTCGGGGGGAGGATGGCGAGGGCGGACTTGGGGGTGATGGAGACGTGGTGGTGATGGGGTCTGGAGTCCCTGTCGCCCTTGAGAGACCGCCGGATGGCCTGTAGTTTTTTTTTTTGCGCGGGCGGGTGGTTAGCGAGGCGGAGCGCAAGGGAGAGAGGGGCTTCGCATACCTTCATTGTGCAACGGCCAGCACCCGATCGCGCCGAGGCAGAGAGAAAGGGCACGCAGAGAGAGCGATGAGGAGGGCCGGTCGTCTCAAGATATTTTATAAAATCGAGGGAGAAAATTTGGGGCCGCTGCCACCAGACAGCAGGCACGGTGGCCCCTGAGGTGATCCGTGAGCAGCCAGGCACAATGGAGGACTGGACAGCGATGGACGGAACCGTCTCCAGCGTCCCAGGGAACCAGCTTCACCAGGGCTGCGAGCGTGCAGTCGCTGGACTCGCTGCTGTGGCTGTGGCGCGGCAGAAGAGCCCAGGAGACCGGACGGGCTGCTGGAATTAGAACGGTGGGTAGCGTGGAGTCCAACAAGTCCAGAGCGCGTATTAAGGTTGATGTGGGATGAACAATAAATGACTGCTGACTGCAGAGGAGATATTCTCAGAGCAGCAATAATCCTCTGCTCGATCGATCGACAATATTCGATCGAGCAATATCGTCCTTCGCGTCGTAGGCTGGAGTGTCTCGGAGTCGTTCGTTCCGCAGGCTGGCTGGGCGGGGACGAGCCAGCCGTATCCTCCGTAAAAGTGGTACACCGTACAGCACGCCTACTATCGCCATGCCATGTTCTTCTTATGGTTCGCGAGGATGCGACCATGCCACGATCAGCTCCAGCCCTGCTGGTCGTTGGTCGACTGCCAGGGCGCTAAGGCGAGCAGCACAGCACAGGCAGGGCGCCCGGTTGGGCAGCAGCCAGAACGAGCAGATGCAATCGGGGGCCAAGGCTGCAAAATGCCGCTAGACTTGGAAGACTAGAGTGCTAGACGATTATCGATAAGCCCGGACGAACGTACTAGAAGACGCATCGCGGGTCGACCATGGATGGGCCCGCGGGGTGACCGCCAGACGGTAGACCACGGATGGTGTGGACGTGGAGAGCAGGCAGAATGATCGATTATGGAGAGCAAATCACAAAGCAAACACAAGCTACTCTCGACAGCATACTGTACGGAGTACCGTACTGGTGCTACCACGCCATCTCCAGGAAGAGGAAATCAAGCGTGGGATGGAGGGTGACACTGGAGTGTCACCGTGTACGGAATACCCCCAGAGACATGTTCTACAATTGCAACCAAATTAATCGATACAGTAAATACTCCGTACTCGGTAGATGAATGGGGCAATTGAATCTAGGATTGTCGTTACACTGTGTTCTGAGCGACAGGCCGATCCTTCGCTACTGGCGTTCTAGAAAAAGCCCACAGAGAATTAAGTTTGCCATGACAATTAATTAATTTAGCGACTTGGAGTGTCTGTCTGACGCCAAGCCAGAAGAATATTCTGAGAAATAACAGTCCCTACTCATTATTGACAATTGCTTACTACTCGCCAGCTGAGGGAGAAATGACAAATAGCAGATATCCTGGTAACGTGACTTCTAAGAATAGACGTACGGAAAAGATCATACCCAGCCAGCCAGCACTCGACTGAAAGAAATGCCTGCTCAATTGCATCAATTACATCGAGTACTCCATATTACGACCGCATGTGTGCAGGAAAGGCACACAAAAAAGGGGAAAAGAAAAAAAAATCCTACCAGTCGCCTGTCTCCATGCGCGTTCTGCATGGGACCTTGCAGTGATGACTCTATCAATCAATCAGTCCATCAATCAATCAATTCAATTAGTCAATTGGGGAGGAGCTGCAATGCTGCACGCGTCACGCATTGAATAATTTCAATTTCCGGACGCTTCAGCTTGAGTAATATAACAGGCACTGCCACACCTTAACCACGCACTTGCCACGTCAGTCAGGTGAGCTGAGTGAGACGCAGGCTGAAGCCTCGATTCTGTCGGTCGAGGTACTCCGTACAGTCTACAGTGAGGCAAGGACATACAGCTTGCCTGTGCTGTGGCTAACGTACTCACTACTCACTACGGAGTACTCACCTGAGTCACTCAGGTATCCACTGTCCACTGTCCACTATCAACGCCACGCCTGTCATATCCATCCAATCCATCCAATCCCAGACTAAAATTCAAGATGGAATTCAATTCAATTGCCGATGTGGCAATGGCAAACTACTGCTTAAGCTTAGATTCAGGCTCTCAGCCAAGTCATCTAGAATTAGAAAAAAGAAAGACAAAAAAAAGAAAAAAAAGAAAAAAAAAAGAAAAGAAAAAAAGAAAAAGAAAAAGAAAAAAAAAAGAAGAAAAAAACTGAAGCGCCCTCCGCAGCATCTAGCATCTACCCACGAATGAAATTCTCTCTCAGCGGGTATATACAGTACCTGCGCAACCTGGCACATTTCAGGGTGGATGGTTTCAGGTCTGCAGAACAAGAAACGTCCAGTGTGGACACTGGACTTGTCAAGCCTGGATTCCGGCAAACCAGACTACAGGGCCGACGCCACGTGGGGATGCCACGATGGGGATCGACGGCCTTGGCTGCCGGACAAAAGCCGAGAATCGATCGAACAGCATCGCCATTACGTGTGCGGATATACCTCTCCACCAAGATAGTCATGACTACTGAAGAAAAGCATTCCGAAAGGTCAGTCAATGTCATTGGAGGATGCATCCTGGCTAGATTCGACCGCCTTGGCCTGCCTCCTCCGAGAGATCACCCATGTGCAAACCTGCGGTCAGAATTCTAATGTCACACAATTCCAGCGCCGTTCAAGAATCCACCCGGGATGAGAACCTTGCGCCATAGAACCCATATGCAGCAACAAAATCCCACGCCCAATGCACTCCCTAAGCGTAAGATGCTACGAGTCGAATTAAGTGTAAACAGCAATAGACGAACGGGTATGCCGCCGAGAATAGAGAAAATGATAAAGGGCAGATGGATGCGAGAATAACAAAGACTGGGAGATGGAGGGAAAGAACGGGCTTCAGATCTGTCCTTTGATGTCGACCACCTTATGGGCCTCGATTTTGGCCCGTTCGAAGATCTGTCCTGCTTTGCCCGTCAGGAGCCGAACGCTCCCATCCTTCTCCTGCAGCAATTCTTCCGGTGCATAGTCTAGGATAAACCGTGCACTCTGTTCGTCCGATTCAAATCCAAGCTCTTCCGTGATAAACCGGATTTTTACGTCAGGTTTGTATCTGGAGATAAGTTAGCAGATAGGTTAGCGTGACCGAGAAAGTCTGTGTGAAGGGAAACGCACGCTTTACAAATACAGGCCAGCGCCGACAGTCGCTCCCGATCAACAAACATGTCCATGAGATAGGCTCCCATGTTCGGGGTGTCGAGGTACAGCTGGAAGAAGCGATGATAGTTGCCCAGCGCAAGTGCCGAGCGAACCTCAAGCGCGTGCTTCACAGCTGGATCCGCTTTATCTGCTGGGGTTAGATCTGCCAACGCGTCGTTGATCGCCGTCTGGTTGCGCGTGTAAATGAAATAGAGAATACGATACGCCTTGAACTCCATCGGATGCCCGCCCAGATTCTGCTCATACAACGCCCGCAGCTGCGTCTGACACTGATTATACTCACCAAGATCTCCTTTCTCCAGGGCTATCCGGGCGTGGATCTCATACACATTCACCGTGAATTCATTCCGGATATGCTGCACCGTCAAGTCCTGCCGCAATGACTTGAACTGATCGCAGATGTAGGTGTAATTGTTCTCCTTCCGCCACTTCTTCTTCAGCAGATCCAACGTCTTTTCGAGTACATGAAGTGGGCGAACTGTATCAGGATTGGGGGCTGAAGTCAAGCGGAAATAATTCTTTTCCAGATCCTGGCACCGTCCAACAATGGGTCCTTGTGTCGCACTGGGGGCTGGGGACTCGTCTCGATAGGTATCTTGATAACCACGCGGAGTCTCGAACCGCTTCTTCCGAGATTCCAGAGTGGCTTTGGACTTACTTGGCAATTTGCTGCTGATATCTATGCGTTGACGCTTGTCAGTGGGGGAGTATGTGACTCGATCTTCCAATTGAGAGCGCTGGTTAGTCTTCCGCCACGGCGGTGAGTCGTCGCCCGCGTCTTCTTGCGACATATCGGTTGACTTCCTCTTTTTTGTGCGCTCCTCACTTGCTTGCAGATTGGACTTAAGAGCAGCAACACTGGATGGAACAGTCCACGCAGAAGACCCTACAGGAGTTGTCAAGATCCTGTTGCGCTCGTTCTGGATCATAACTTGAGGTAAAGGAAGGTTGTCCCAATCGATGGTCTCAAGCATGTTATTCTCCGCTGCCTCTGTGATGACCTGTTTCAATTTTGCCTCCATCTCTTGCCTGCTAACACTCGGGATCTGGTACTCGGGTACAAAACTGCGCTGGACGTACTGACGAACAGGGAGGGGCCATTCGACACGTTTTCGCTCGGGGGGTGGTTGGGTACTTGACGATGAGGGGGCAGGAGGATTTTGAGAGGGGTTCGAAGACGCGTTGGACTCGCCATGAGGAGCCAAACTACGACGAGCTTGCACGGGAATATATGCAGGAGACACTAGCTCAGTCAGTCCATCTTCACTTCAGGCTCACCAGTGAAGAGATGACACTTACTAGTCCCAGTAGGATTCGAGGTAGTCGTGGCGGTCGCTGTTGATGAAGCGCGCCATGGTGGAACAGTAGAACTCATTTTTAGTAGAATCTAAAGCAAATAGGACAATAGAGCAAGAAACACGCGATTCACAGGCTCAAACATGCGATAAAAATGGGATCTACGATAAGTCCAGGAGGGACAACAGGAGTCCTTCGAAGGCAACTTGGTTTGCACTTTCGACAAATATAGCGTGGCTCTCCGGAAAGGCAGTAAGGGCGGTAAAGATCTCTTAACACTGAGCAGCCAGATATTCACGCAAAGGAAGTGTCACTGTGCAACAGATGGTGAAATGGCTGCCTTTCTGGTGGTGCAAGTAAATAGGTAGTTGGGAAGGAGGCCAACTTAAGTCGGAGGTCAGGAGTCGACCGGGCGCTCGCTTAGTGTGCCGTTTGTGGTCATCGGCAACTCCGCCATCCAATCCACGCAGCGTACTTTTTGTTGCCTGTGGAATATGGCATCAAGTCCCTGTCTTGGCATTACGCTATGAGGGGACTGGGACGGTACGATGGATACTATCGCGTGATAACGCTTGATTTCCAACTTGTTACAGGGCTACGTACTGCTGCGGCCCAAGATGATACAGATGTTCTCCATCTCCTCTATAAATACGGGCTAGATGTTCTTCAAGCCGCTGGACTTGACGACTGCGCTCCGTCCGTTACTCCTGCCGGATGAGACCCTACTGTTCGTTCAGGATGCAGTGGGCTTGTATGAGGGGTAAGCACTGCCGTCTGTGGATGGAACACTCTGCGCGCCATTAAGTTCATTGTTTTTCTCATTTGCTCCTGTAATGCTGTTACTGACAGTTTCGCTTTTGCATCACCAGAAAATTCAAGATTCCCAACTATCAGAATGGCCATGCCTATCTGACGTCCCACCGAATCTGCTATGTAGCCGCCGAAGAGCCCCGGAAGTACTCCGTCTCGGTCGAGCTCAAGGACGTCGATCGCGTGGAATACCAGGTATGGCATCTTTGCGACATCTCGACCTTATTTACCGACTGACCCTTCCCAGGCAGGCTTTCTCAAGTCTTCTCCTAAAATCACGATATACCCCAAGCCACAGAAGCATGGCCTGGGACAGCCGCACGGCACAAATGCCGGCCCATTTTCTACCCAAGTCAGCGGTACTTCGCCTGCGCAACCATCCTCTGCGGCTCTACAAGTTTCACGTGGCGCGTCGCCTGCTCCAAAGCCGGTGAATGCAACGTGGATCTGTCCCATCTGTTCATTCTCCAACCCAGTTCCCTCCAACTTTGACCCGGCAACAGCTACAGCCTCGACACCGTTGCCACCATGTCTGGCGTGTGGAATCAAACCGCAATTGACGACTATACTGAAGGCAGCTATCGCCGCTGCAACGAATCGAGCACCTTCAGATGCAACTGAGCGAGACCGGTTACAGACAAATGCAACCGAGTCTTCGACGGCTCTTCCGGATTCAGACACTTCAGAGACATCATTGGCTTGTCCCAGATGCACATTTAACAATCATCCGTCTCTCTTGGAGTGTGAGATCTGTGGAGCCTCTCTTGTGTCCTTGGCTCCTAGAGATAGGAAGATTACTAGTGGAGAACGTTCGGAGTCGCCAGCACCCCCTCTCGCTCAGTCGAGTATAAGCAACACTGAAATAAATGAGTGCATCAAGCTCTCATTCCGTGGCGGCGGTGAGAAAATCTTCCATGAAAGATTAAAAGGCGCTTTGATCCAAAGAAAATGGCTCCTTCAGAACGCTCCTCCGATCCCGCAACCCTCCCAATCCCCAGGGCATGGACCATCCACGTCTCCTGTGCCACGTGGTTCCGGCCAGTCGACACCTCGACCATCCGCAGTTGGGATTGCAGGACTTGAGCAACGGGGATTGGAGACCCGAAAAAACAACGAGCTGGTGATTGGCAACGCCTTCGAGGATCTGGAGGCTCTGATGGCTTCTGCGAAGGAAGTCGTCGCTCTGGCGGAAACTCTCGCCTCTGAATCAGGTCTAGCTACTAATGGAGACTCTGCTGAAGCGAAGGCCGTACTGTCTGAATCGGCAGCTGCCCTGGGGATGGTGACTACAAAGGACATGCTGGGCTCCGGAGCTGAGAATCTTTACCTGTCTGAACTTTCCCGGAACCTGGCGGAATATCTCACCGATGACCGCAAGGGAATTCTTCGCAAGGAGGGCGGCATCATGAGCCTCATTGATCTGTGGGCCGTTTTCAATCGCAGCCGCAATGGAGTGGAACTCGTAAGCCCCTCTGATTTCCAGAAAGCCGCGCAGCTTTGGGAGAAGCTCAAGTTACCGGTCCGTCTCCGCCGTTTCAAGAGCGGTCTTCTAGTCGTCCAGCCGTATGACTTGAGCGACGAGAAGACGATCCAGCAGCTCGAGGCCTGGATGGAGGAGCTCCGGCAGCAGCCTCCAAGCGAACCAGTCCCCTGGGACTGGAGGGTCTATGGTAGAGGCGTGACGGCCCAGGAGGCAGCCCAGCATTTTGGTTGGAGCGTAGGAGTTGCTGCCGAAGAGCTCGAGATGGCTGAGGACCGAGGCGTTCTCTGCAGGGAAGAAGGTATCGAGGGTGTGCGGTTTTGGAAGAACCACTTCGATGATGATTTCAGCGATGACAGAATTGGACAGGCAGTGTCTCTCCTGACGCTGTGAAGAGTAATAAAGTCAAAGATCAACGTGAAGAGTGGTGTATTATAGACGAGTACAATACAGCGTTGGATGTTGTAGGAGTAGCTTGTTCAATGCAGTCTATACCACTGTAGCGGACACGATTGGCCGATAGGAGTTTCGGAGCTTCTGTTATCGCGCAGGGGAACCCCACCCGAGCTGTCGCTGTTACTCCGCAGACGCCTATATAGCTTCAGCTTCCGAGACCGCTCAGAATCCACAGATCCCAGCTGAAAGTGAGCTTTACTCATCGCATCTCCTTGTTCAAGCTTCTATCGATTGTACAGAGGGCTCTATCGCTGAAGCATCTCCAGCAACGTGGTGTGGGAGCTACAGCTTGCTTATCGTGCATCGTGACAGGCGGACTTGGCGCTTTATCGGCTGCCGCTCAGACATCCACCGACAGCTCGTCGATCGATCCGATATGAGCGATATTCCATCGTCTTGAAACCGATTCGGAGAGCAGAGACCGCTTCGAAACGGTAGCTTACGTGAAAAGTTCGAAGTCTTCTCGACTCGAGACCGAGTTCCTACGCCTGCGTCATCTGAGACGCCGGTATGGGCCTCTCGGCATTGACATCAAAGCCAAAGCCCACTAGCAGTCTCAGCCGGGCTCCCCTTCGTCGTCCGCTAGTCCTATCTCCCACCCTCATCTCGTCATCACTTGCCATCTCAGCATGCGTGGTCACTCAAGTCCAGCACCGCCGAACTCTCTGGGGATGGGGACGTCGGGACTGGGGGGAATCTGGGAATTATGACCGTTTGTGGCATCGTCTCGAGAGGCTGGAGCGGAAATTCTTAGCAAAACAAGCAAAGTTACTGCGTCGACAGGCACTTCTCAGTCAGAAATGGAGTCAGAGATTGTCCCATGAGCCTCCACGGTCGGGATGGCACTGGGGATGGCGATGGGTAGGATGGGGATGGCCCGGTTGGGGATGGGGATGGGGATGGGGATGGGCTTGGCCACGGTTCCAATCTCATCGTCCAGATCCTAATAGTCGTCAAGATGGGAAATCTGGAGGCGGTACAGGCGGGAAGTTTCCTGAGGATCCAGGGCAACAAAACTGGTGGGAAACAGAGAGAGCTCGCTTTGACAGAGAGATGGAGCAATTGAAGAAGGAAATAGAGGCTGATCCTTATAACTTCCTGTTTGGAAAGAGCAATGAGTGGCTTAGATATCGTGACAGTCATTCCAGGGACTGGTCAGAGTGGTGCCGCTCCTTTCTTGGTTTGGATGGGACTTCGAAGAAAGCGCAGGTGATTGATACCAATCCTTCACCAAAGTCGTCTCCAGAGACTACCAAGAGTGACAACGTCGTCGAATCTTCAAAATATCAGGAGCCGACAGTAGCGTCTGAGAGCTCTGCCAAGGCAACAATTGACACTGTGTACGACCCTATCAGCGGTCGAATGGTTCCTAAAATATCACAATCCCCCGAAGAGGAGAAAGATGCTGTCCCAAAGGGTGATGACGCTACTGATATTCCCGTCAAGACATTCAAATCATATCGTGCGCAATTTGGCTACGGAACAGACACGAATGAGGAAACCCAGAAGTCGACACAGGAGGATGGTCCTGTGAATTCGAAAGGAGGACAAGAGCAGTCCGAACAAGCCAAAGATGGCACTCCAGAAGCCACGGAAGGAATGAAGCAGAAGAACCAGAAGCCAGATGTTTTATACATGGCTGGCCCAGAGAAGGTCATCGACTTGCCTCCCTCGTCTGCTATGAGCCATGGTCCAGAAGCCTCCGTACAAGCAGATGGTGAGCAATCTTCCAGCGCTGTTAAGGAGGAGGCCAAAACTTCTGCTCCAGAAATGCAACGTAAAGAATATAATTTCGCGGAAAAGAAAGACGACGATGTCGATCTTCTGCATGCTAGCGATATCCGTGTTTCGTTTTACTCGGGCAAGACCAAGCAGGAAATTGCCGACGAGAAGAAGTCAAAGCGAGAGGCTCTGGAACGCGATTTTGACTCATATAAGGACCCCGAAAGTGATCTTGACGCGGAAGAAATTCGTGCGAGCGCAAAGAAACATGAGAGCGTGCAGGTTTCTGGTAGCCAGGCCGAAGAGGTGCGAAGCAGTACAACAGCTTTGAAAGAACCTGAGACGTCTGCTACACAGCTTGTCGAGCAGAGTTCACCTGAGTCAGAGGATGTGTCATTGAAAGCTCGGACCGATCATGACTCTATTTCTCTCCAGCCGCCGACATCCACTAGCAGTGACAAGGAATCGTCGCAATCACATAAATCTGCCTTGTCTCAAGAAATCAAAGATATCTACGAGTCTGCCTACGGCGAGATCACTCCTCAACATCGTCAGGGAAGTCTGACCAAAAAGGTCAGTCCGTCAGATTCTGGCGTGGTCGACAAAAGTCAATCCATAATTCCGGAACCACAGACCTCGGATGCCCGCTTGCAAGAGACGCTTCAATCCGCAAAGAAATTCACTGAAACTACAAGCGAGATTACAAAGGAACTGATAGAAACTTGCAAGCAGCTCGAGACTTCCAAGAGTGCTCAGGAGTCTAGTTCACCACATCTGGATGAGAACCCCTCGAATGCATCGGCCGCCTTACCAGCCACTTATCGAGTACTTGCCTACGATTCTTCGACTCACCAGGTCGTCATCGCAGAAACTACCTCGTCCGTTTATTCGGCGGAACAGACTCTTCATCCAACTGAGGTTTTGTCTCGTTTGAACAGTCCGGCAAAGTTTCTTCCGTACTTTGCACAGATGCAGGCTGACGGCTTTGAGATTGTGTCTGGTGGCGGTGACATTCTTGTATTCAAAAAGGTGCGAGAACCTAGGGCATCATCGACGGCTGCCGGATTGGAAGAGTCAGCTATGCAGAATAAGGACAAGGACAGTGTATCTGCAGCCAAGATCAACTCGGCGGAGAGCAGGTCTCCAGAACAGCAAGGAATTCACAGTGGAGTTGACAGAGATTGGAAAATTACACAATCAGAGTCTGTGAGGACGTCGTCTCCTTCGTCTTCACCAAGGATGGTTCGCAGACAGGAAACCGTCTACACTGGAGGCCCACCAAACTGGGCTCCCTATCCACCACCTCCACCTCCTGAAGTCGATATGGGGACGGATGCCGCTCGTGAGAAATTATCCTTTGGGAAAACGGCTCGTTGGGTTCTTTTGACGGGCTTGGGTACGGCAGCAACGTGCTACGCCATCGGCGTAGTGTGCGAGTATTTCCGCACCGGAGGCGCAGATGGCTTGGGCCCGGAGGGATTCACCGAGTTTGAGTCAGAGAGACGGCGGAGGGAAAAATTGTCATCTTCTTGATTCAGTGTATTAGCTTTTGATGGGTTGGGTTATAATCGAGGCCAGTTATTCGGTCAATTCTCGTCGATTGCTATGATGGCAGTAATTGGAATAGCTGCCGATGTATATACTATATAGCCAGGGAGCAACTCTCTTCTCCTATGCTCTCCTCTCATGAATTATGACTTAGATTAGGACTTGCTCATATTATATAGTAAAATCATTTAATCTTCATTAAAAGGTTTATCTTGTGCCTGCTTACAGCTTATATTAACCTAACAAATCCCCTAATTCCTGTCATCTGCTCCTGATCCTGTAAGCACATGTCACAAGATTACTATGAAAGGTATCGCCTACTTAGCAGCATCCATCCCTAAAACACAGATAGAAAATTGTCAAATCTACTTGTGGGTGCTCTCCCTGAGCATGTGTTACACTGTGAACTTCCATGAAGCATGTATTTGTTTACCAGTTAACTAACTCCTCAAAAGTACACGCATGACACATTACGACCTTAGAGATCTTTCACTTCGTGATTTACCAACAACCCCCCATAAGTACAGGATGTCATGCTTACATTACGGCGCATGTCAAATCACACGTCATCTGCTTTAAGCTTATGAGTTTCATCATCCCCAAAACACACGATACAACATCCTGGTATGTGCTATCAACCACTGACTAGCTGCCAACCGGAAGCCCACGCAGCCAACACAGCTAAGGTAGACAAGACAGTTAGAGAGAAATCAACGGTCCAGTTGTTGGGTTTGCTTCGCGTACTCGTTGTCATCGCTATCGTCCATCTCATCGTCCCCGTGACTGTCATCCTCTTCGTCGTCGTCGTCAACGAAGTCCGCTAACCAACGACTCTCGAGGTAGTGGTTGAGGCTATCATCGTTGTTGTTGTTGAGCGGATCGATCCCGTGAAGAATGCCGGACTTGGCTGCGTCGGCGTTTTTGTAAAGACTATGATGATGGTAGGGGTATGGGTGGTGGCTGTCTGTGACTGCCGGACGCTGAAAGCTGTCTTGTTGTGGCTGCTGCTGCGACTGCAGCTGTGCAGGCTCGTTTTCCTTCTGGCTCGACTCTTGGACAGTCTCTTCTTGTTTCATCACCACATCTTTTTCATCGGAGTCGTCAGACTCGTCTTCGGGAAGGTCAGGAGGACACTGAAACGCATCAGTCAGGGTGCCCATGCGTGCCTGACCACTCATGAAATAAGTGAATACAGCCACAACCGTTTTCACAGCTTCCCTGAAATCCGACTTTTTCCAGAGATCGAATTCGCGACTCGCAACGACACGGAACGTGCGCATCTCAGGCTCTCCGCCCAGCTCGGTAAGATACTCGTTCATCGCCTGCTGCACGGCTTCATCGTAGCGTTTGATCTCAGCTGGGTCGTTGTTGGTCTTGGGGGGCTCCATGGGCAAGACCTTGCGCCAGACGGGGAGCTCTTTCTTTCCACACCAGATGGCGGAGCATTTTGGTCCCGGGAACCAGGCCCTGAAGACGTGGAATCGTGAACCGTGCATGCCGAACAGATAGGTCTCCTGGTGCGGAAGCTTGTCTGCATACGCGCCGGAACGGTGGAGATGCATGTACAACTCGGCGAGCATCAGTTTGATTTTGCCTGCGACGGCGGATTCGAGGCTCTCTGATTCCAGTGTCTGAGATGAATTAGCTGAGTTTACGAAAGACGCGAAGGGAAGTGCCAGAAAAGTGCCAAACAACAATCTAGAGGTTGAGAGAAAGTTGCATACCACAGTCAGAGGAATCATATGCTTCATCCGATAGCCGCCAGGGAAATAGTCAAGAAAAATACATCCAACTGCAGGTGGTGCATCGGAATGGCGTATAGGATAGCCAGTGACGTACTCGGGGCACCAAGCCATGAGTTTGGTACTATTCAGTTGACAAGAATGTCAGCATCTTACTTTCAGAGAAATTTACCCAAATCAAGAAAGAGTGTCTCATAACTTACATCAGAAAGTAGAATCCTTTTCCATTGTGAACTTCGTGCTTGAGGTCCATCATGCTTTTGACCTCGTCGAGGAGCTCCTTGAGGGCCTGTGCCTGCGCGACGGGGAATTTCGTCTTCGTGGCCGCATCAACGTTGAAGGTACTGCCGCCCTCGTACAAACCCTTCTCGAAGTCCGGGACCTTACTCAGCTCGACGAAAAGATTTTTGTAACGACGGTCGGTGAGAGACCATTTCTTCAGATTGACGTTGCGGCTGTCATAGTTGTGGTTCTGTCTGCGGAAGATCCACGCGTTGCGTTCAGTCACGGCTGCATGCCATCATTAGAGTCAGATTTTCTTGCACATATATATGTCAGTCGGAGCTCTCAGACTTACGGGACTTTTCAGCCATCACGGCATATTCCTCTGGCACGATGTCTTCAAGCTCGCAGTTGAGGAAGACCTTGGCAGTCAGGCTGTGGATCTTGACCTCAAAACGAGTAATACCATCGTCACTGGAATCAGATGAGTTGTCTGCAGGAATGATGCCTTTGGGTAGAACCTTGGCCATCGTTCCTGTTTGACGTGTCTGGTCGCGTGTGCAAGGATAGTTTGATATGAGATAACAGGAAGTAAGATGAGATGGATAACGATACAGAAGATGAAGATACAGCTATCAACGTGTCTTCACATCACATAATATCAGATCGATACATGATGATGGTTGGGATGAGTGAAGGTAAATAGTGAACGTGGTGTAGAGAAGAAGAGGAAGAGGAAAAGGTGAAATGACAGACCAGTATTTGTTGTGAAATCACCGACTGAAGACTTCAGATGAGCAGGTGACCACTGACCAGTGAAGGCGGTAACAGCCAGCAATTTCGCATTCATGGTGTATACAGCTATCAAACAGTGCATACTGTCAGGTCTGCGGTATTTACCGATGTAAGAGTGTCTGGCAGTTGCTGCCCTCCAGGTTCTTCTACCTTTTATATGCCTGTGCGAGGGCAAGAGACATCCTGGTGACATCCCGGCCAGAACTCTTGCACATTTTTCAAGAACGAGATTGTAGAGTCCAGCTTGAAACTACGCTACAAGCCTGGTAACTCAGCTTTGATCCCTTCCCTGAAGCGATTCCATTCATTCGAGTACACGCATGTCGTATAGCGAGTATAGAGGTAAGCCGTAATGGTCGACCTGACCCGGACTTGATATTCGCGAGTTATTTGAGCAGATAGACAAGTAGAAATATTTCAGTCTAGTATCCTAAAGAAAACAGGTCCAAGAGGGTCACCAAGGTAGTAACATAACTGGAATATCGACACTGTTTAGATTTCAGCAAGGTTACCGCCAAACTTGACTCCCTCGAGAAGACGAGGCAAAGCGAAACGACATCTCTTGCGGTGATTATACGTCTCTTGCAGTGATTGTATCGTTGAGCAAGATATTCGTTTCTCATGGATAGATGTCTACCTGTCAACTGGACTTGAGTGGAATTAGGTAGGTATCATTATTCTGTCTCGATATAATACCTAGACTAAGCTTTCTTGTCCTCCTCCTCAGATTTTCCGCACTGGTTGTCCGTGTTGTTGCAGCGGTAGGTAGAACCTGTGATAATGGCAGTAAACAGTAAAGAATTGTTATTATTTTTTTTCCCCCGCGGAGTTAGTAATGCTCGTCAGACAGAATAAGACTACTGTACTGCAACCGCAGCGAATACATATATCAAGGTGTATATATGGCCACATTTCTTTTCTTTTCTTTTCCTTCCTTCCTTCCTTTCTTTCTTTCTTTTTTCCTTTTCTGGGAGAAAAGTTGTTATGAATCTCCAAGACTAAAATAATACTACTGTAGCGACTACCTACCTACCTAGGTAATATATATTACCACATATATCCATGAACAGTACTGAAAAGGCAGGCTATTTTTTTTTCTCTTCCTATGCCATGAACAGAAGCAGAGCTCCGTTTGAAGTATGTACATACATACATACATACATACATGAATCTCTTTAACATTTGTACTGTACGATCTAACTAGATAAATGATCTGATGGAATCCGACCTGTGAGACCTGTCATCTGTATTATAGTTATAATCTGTCAGAAATGACGCGTCTGCTGCGAATTTGAGACTACGGTATTGGAATAACAGTATGTATGTACATACAGTGCATCTCACACTCTTCAGACGGACGGTGAATAGCAGGGGTTAGCTATGCCTAACTTCATAGCTTGAATATTATATTATGCTGTTTGCGAAAGTCAACACAAGGAGAGAAAGTGAAAGGGAACAAATAAACAAAGATTTAGAACTTATCAGTCTTATACTTTGATTAATTTGTAGATGGAGAAATTAATTTCTGTCCGAATAAGAGAGGGCTATGGAGTAGGAATGCCGATATGCTAATTAGGTAGTTTTCCCTAGAATATGGATCACGAGATATATATATCTTCGCAACTGCACAGCTATTTATTAACTAGCTCTCTCTACTTGAGAAGAACGACGGAATGACTGCATAGAGAGCGCTATCGCCATCTCTATCGCTTCAGCGGGTTACCAGGAAGTTGCGTTACGAATTAAAGAAAACATGCTATTGAGGGAGGACTATTATTTGTTTATTATTTGGCTTCATGCCGGCTCTGTTATATAATCTAGAGTATCTCTAGAGTACTTCATACTGGAACTGGAGAATTAATCAAAGTATACAAAAGTACTCTCTCTGTACTGTACTGTACAGTAGGTAAACCATTGCATGAATAAATCGCTCCTTCTCTCTTCTCTCTCGCAAGATTAATTCCTACACATATGCGTACAGTACTTTTCCTGTGGTAGGTCACTTACATACTGTGTGTATGTACACCATCTGAACTCAGACTGACTACATTCAGGGAAATCGAAGCATACTCATTAAACTTTTCGCTCAGAATAATATACTAATTCAACATCCATTCTACGTGAGTAAATGGTCTGAGCGGAGATTTCTCATGAAGATCGTCATCTCACTAGTCGCCAGTAGCCGCGCTGTGCGGCGTAATAATAATATAATTAAATATAAATTAAAAAAAATGAAAAAAAAAAGATTAATATAATATATATATTAATGCCACCCTCCCTACGGAGTAATAAAGATAAAGATAGATTACTTGATGAGAGCCGTGTATGCATGTACAGAGTAACACTCCGTATGAAGTGCTGTACACTGGGTGATCAGTTAATAATAACAAATAGAGGATGGGATTTACCTTTTCTACTCATATGTCTTCGATGTAGCATAGCCACTGTAGTGAGAATATAGATTTGATGCATTGCCAACGTAGACAATAAATAATAATCTCTAAAGATCCATTTAATTCGGACTACTAGAAATAAAACTCCTCGTTGACAAGATAGAAACAAAAAAAAAAGAGAGACAGAAGATCATTAGTATAAAATAATAACAGTGGAATCAAAAGTCAAAGTAAATCAGAATCAGAACCAGAATCATGAAGACATAAACTGATGATTATAGATAGATCTAAGAACTGTCCTAGACGATCGATGATCCATCATCCTGTTCTCCATGGATGAGACTTGCACCCAGCCCAGAACTCTCTTGGACAAACAGATCACTAGAACAATTAATTAATCAATTAATTCTGCAGAAACTAATCTCGAACTATCGAGTCGATATATATAAATAAATCTGCGTTTGATAATTAATTTTTTTGTATGTACTGCACTTCGTACGGAGTCCTCGGTTCTTCTCGGTCTGCACGCAAAGCCCGGAACGGGAAGTGGGGAACAAGTTAGGTAACAACCCATGGTTAGTCCTCCTTGGCAGCTAGGAACAGGTTTAGCTCGGGATGGATGGATGGAACAGCAAGACTTGGACAAGCACAGCACCTGCAGGAGTGAATCAGTACTCTATGTACTACTGTACACGTGAATTCATTTATATTTCTTTGTCTCTTTCGCTTAGAGTTTTTTTTTTTCTCTCTATCGACTGTGCATACAGTACTCGGGGTAGACAGTCTTTGTCCAGGGAGTCCTTGTTTAGGCACTATGTACTCCGTACGGAGTATGGCCCCCGGCTTGGATTTCTTTCTTTCATTCTTTCTAATCAGGGGGCTGGATCCTGGATCCTGTGGGGTCCATGTCCATGTCCGTGATAGATAGACGAGTCTCAGTCAACGACTGACTCAGATAGAGATTACGGATTGAGATGGGGATTCATTCATTCAACTCCACAGGTTGGATGTTTTACAGTATGCAGTATTTCTGTACGAATACTGTTAGCAGGATCTGGCAGGTCGAGTCGAGCGAGCCAGGCAGTGGTACAAATTCCCTTCGGAGATAGAAAGCTTTCTCTCAAATGCCGTGGACTATGGAGTAACTTCAATAAAGTGATAAGCCTTCGCGTCGGTGGCGCCGGGGCTCACGAACAGGTCGCAAAGAATCGGTTCGCGCAGGCTTGGGTTAAGCTCTGGTGGTATTCAGGGGTTAACTTGCGCCGGCGGTTCGCCCACTACTTACTACTTAACTTTGCTTGCAACCTGCCAACTTTGGTGCGAGCATGCTTATCTTAGCTAGAAATGGGTAAATAGCCTTGCAGAGGAATCAGTATGGAGGACAGTTCGCAAGACTGTAGAAGATATTAACAGCAGACAAAATACTCCGTACTCTCTCCTGAGAAATTGTACTCCGTAATTGTACAGAGTACTGCTCGCTAGACCACTACCGAGCCAAGATCAAAAAAAAAATATATAATGTACTGCCGGAGTATATTCTCATTCAGGCCAAGTACCCAAACGGATCACTCCGGAAGCACTCCGTACTCCGTACTCCATACTCTCGTCCTGCCCTGTCCTGTAGCAGATTCGTGCTCGAGCTTATTTGGCGGACCGATCCAGCGTTTTGAGTTCTGACTGCTGAGTCCCAGCTAAGCCAGACTGCTTTGGGATAAGGGGGGGGGGTGATAGAGCGTTGTTTTATTAATTAATGCTGGCCAGGGGAGACGACCAGCATGTACGAAGTACTCTGTACGGAGTAGTCATAGACTAGACACGGGCCGGAGTAGGTCTGTCTGTGCAACTCAGTTGCAACCTGCTAGTTGTAGATCGATCGTATCGTAGTTCCGCAATATTAATAATTGATGGCATGATCTGTAGTGCTATTATCGGAGTTATTTCGTTAGTCACGGCGCCTATTGATGCCAGGTACGGAGTACTCACGAGGAATTCGAATACTTACTCGCCCTGCCTGCTGATTCAGCCAGTCAGTGGGCAGACTGGCAGTCACATTCTCCGTACACGTGGACCAAGGCTGTGACAGAACAGTCTTCATTCTGGCGGGGTTCTGGACTCACTGGCATGTAACAGACGGATGACACCGGACGGAGGGACGACGGAGCGCAGTTCAGCCTGATAGGCCAGGCAGTCCGATGGTTATGCACACGCACGCTGCGTTGTCGCCACAGCCAGGAACCAGGAAGTGGAGACGCCGGCGGGCTTGGCGGCGCAGCCTAATAGGGCAGCCGTCGGAGCCCCCTGTCGCCGCTGTCGGCTGCCCCGTCCGCCTGGCCGGGATCCATGGGTCGTTAGCCTTCAATAATCCCCCGGACGGCAACTCAGTGGACAATCACAGCGATAATTTTATTATTTATTTATCCTCTGGCCGCGATGACGGGCAGATTGGGATGATCGATGATCCTGCCGCAACGGGTACGGCGCGAAAGTGTTATTATCAACTTCAAAGGCAAACAAAGAACAAAGAGCCAGGAGGGACCGCGTGCACGGTCTCAGCCTGCACGGTACCCGTGCTTTGTGCCTGGTGGTTGTTACTGGAGAATCTGAGATCGCAGCGCAACAAAGGACTTCGGCTGAGTCGACTCGTGAGGCTTTTTCTGCTGCAAATCCTCCATGCATGGTGCATCCTGCCCGTTTTGGTGGCTTGCACTGTGTAGATACTCCCGTACTGTACTCTTTCCAGGATTGCTGGAAAATGTCTTTGAGTCGCACAAGTGATGTGGCTATACTCTGGACTTCAGACTCGGAAGCGCACCGTAATAGCCGGCCTTGTTATTGCTCTAGTATCGTACTCCGTATTTGCACCGCCTGTATCGATGCCATCTGACGGGCGTCGGCAAGAATAGAAAAACAGAGCGCGCTAAACCCCAAGCGGATGGCGGGCGTAGGGCGCGTCACCTGCCGGGCTCCCATTGGCTGGCTGGCGCGGCTAATGCACGCACTTCAGGCTCCGAGACAGCAATACAGAGTACGGCTGCCCCTTTTTATCTCGTACGGTACCGATTACCGATTGCTCGTCCAGACAAGTTGTCTGCCGTCCCACGCTATCGTGCTGATCGCTGCTGTCCATGCCTATTTCGTTTAGATACCCAGTTAGCCGATGCTCTGGAGAGGAAACGATCGTCGTCGCGGCGGGGAGCAAAGACAACCACAGTCGCAGGAGGACTCGCGACGTACCGAATACCGGTCAAATCACCGCAGATGCCTTGGATTTCTAGAACATGCATATGCAGCTGACTCAGCGGTGGAAATGAGCATGCCCAAGGCAGCTCTCTGTGTGTTTCTCAGCGGTAAGGGGCCCTGGTCTCGGAGATTGAGGGCGCTGGCACAGGCGGTCGTGGGCGGTACCAATACCGCGTCGTAATAATTTTGGCTCGCCTGGCGGCCCAAACTGCAGCTCATCACCCCAGAAGTTAACCAGGTTACGAGGCGCACCATCGTCACCGGCCGGCTCAACTTGCGTGGTTTTAGGACAGCCAACAGGCCGCAGTGGAGAAGCGGCTCCAGCCCCCATTGCTGGCGTGACTCTCGGCTAGCGGTGCGTGTCGCCAACTTACACTAGCAACGCGGAGGGCTGCCACACTCCCAGCACAGCCAACCGCCAGCCCGCTCCTCTTTGACTCGCGCTCGCTCCCTCTCTTCTTCTCCTTCTCCCCTCCCTCCGCTCTTTTGTTTTCTCCCTCTGTTGCTGTGCTTTCATGTTTCGCCGTTGACGGTGCTGTCGTTGACGTGGACTGCTCGCCCTGCGTCGACCGTCGCTGGGACGCCCGGACAATCTTGCTTCGCTCCCCCGCATGTCCACGCGGTCGCGCACCCGGACTTCTGCCTGTCTTTAACTTGCCCACCAGTACACGGCGATTCCTTCTCGCTTTTGACGTCTTCGTGCATTCTTTCGCTCGTTACTACACCTCACACTCGCTTGAACTCGGGGTCCTGTCTGTGAAGTCGGTCCCCATTCCACTCGTTTACATATAATATCGATTAAAAGAAAAAGCAAAAACCTAGACGCTTGCATTTCAAATTCGCTCACTCGTTGGAAATCAAAAACATACGCATATCCGCTTATTCGCTGATCCTGATCCATTGCGACGACTCGATCGGAATTGTGCAGTATCCTCCAAGAAATCAGGAGACGGAAAGGAAAAGCCTGGGAGGTCCTTTGACGAGTCGTTCAGCTGTTGACGTGACGGATTGTGTACGTTTACGAGTGACGAATTCTGTATTCACCCAAGGAGCTTCTTCGGAGTGGGAGACCTGCGACGATTGACGCATTTGTCTTTCGCTTCAACGCGGTGATTACCATTGAATTGCCAGTTCTAGGTTGAGTGGTGAGTCTCTTTCACCTTGGCAGCATTTTGGGTTTTCGCGTGCTGCTTCTCCTATAAATTCGGCTCCATTCGCATGTTGGATCCTACAAGACCACATTGGCGTCGTTTTTTTATTTCACTGCGGCTGACAAAGTATGACAGATTCGTTCATTAAATCTCTCACACTCCCTTACTCCGTGCTTCGAACCTGCCAAGGATAGACAAGATGAGATCCACCAGCGTTTCTGCGCTTGCTGCTCTGGCCCTGGCGGGCGGTTCAGTTGCAAACGAGCTTCGTCCGCGGTACTACTTCCCCAGGGAGATCCGGCGGCCCATTTACACCAACTCGAGTCTGGAGTCCCGACAAACGACCGAGCTGCCAAGCTCGTCTGCCGACCTGTTGGGCTCTCTGGGAGCATTGCTGAGCGGCCTCACGGGCCCGGAACCGTCAACTCCACCTCCCTCTGTTCCCCCGGCTCCCCCGAGCTCTAACCAGCCCGGTGTGGTCGTGGTTCCTGTCACCATTGCGGTCCTGCCCGATGGCCAAACGACCACCGTCACCGGTTCCGCCTCTACTAGCGGTACTGCGACTGCTCAATCGGTAGTTGCGACTTCGGTGGTGCCAACTACGTCCATTGCTGCTCCCGTGCCAACAACGTCCCCAGCTCAGCCTGCTCCATCTGGCACGACCGCAGCTGAGGCTGCTCCCTCTGGAACGACCGCGAATGCCACGACTTCTGCAGGTCTTCTTGGAGGCTTGGGAAATGATGTGTCCAGCTTGCTCGACCCTAGCCAACCCGGCTCCACTGGTGGCCTTCCGGCAACCATCGTCCAGCCTACGACCCCGTCCGCGAGCCCACAGATCCCTGCTACTACTACTGGGACTCCGGAAGTTGGTACGACTGGCGGTATTCCGGCAAGCATTGTCCAACCGACAACTTCTCCGTCCAGCGCCTCGAGCAGCCCCGGCCTGGATCTCTCAGGCGTTCTGTCCGGCGTTGGCGGTGCTCTGGTAGGCTCGACTGGGTTGGTTCCTCTTCAGCAGGGTTCGACGCCGACTCCCTCTCCGTCTGGCGGTATCACGGTTGGCGTTTCGAGCGTGATCTCCCCTTCGCCCACGACAGGTGCGACTCCTTCGCCTTCGAGCGGTCAGGATCTTCTGTCAACGCTTCTTCCTGGCATTCTTGGCGACGGCAACTCCACGGCCTCTTCGGGCCCGATTACTATTCCCGTTGTTGTTCCGACGCCCAAGCCTAACGCGTCGCCGTCCAGCCCTGCTGTCAGTCCTGGTGTCACTCCATCGGGCGGTCTGTCTCCCGTCGGTAGTCCGTCTCCAAGCGGCTCTCCCAGTCCTACTCCAGTCTCCCCTGGCTCGACACCTGGCTCTACTCCTGGCTCGACACCCAGCCCTACGCCTGGTGTGTCTTCCGGTGCAGCTACCCCAAGCCAGACGAGCTCGCCAACGACTGTCAGTCCCACAGAGTCGAAGACCACTCATCATGAGGTGTCCCCCACTCCGACTCACGAGAAAACCACTGCCAGCCATACCACCACCACCACCAGCAGCAGCAGCACCAGCACCGCTCAGCCCTCGCAGTCTGACACGTCGACCTATATTCCGCCTCCCAGCATCATTATCCAGCCGACGACCACTGCGTCTGCGACGACGACTCAGCCTACGGTGAGCTTCACGGAAATCCCCCAGGTTATCGCTCCTGCTGGTGGAATCCCGGCGGCTCCCCAGAACTCGACCCTGATTCAACTTGGTTTCAACCATCTCCTTCCGTACCAATTCGTTGCTACGATGGCCAGCTCGAGCTCCCAGATCCTCTACTACACGCCGTTGGGTCTGGAATACGCTCTGCAGATTCCCGGCTCGCAGGTCGTCCCGTACCTGATCCGCCCGTATGACACCTCGAAGACTCTGGGTTACGTGACGACTCTTATTCAGCTCTACATTCCTTCGGACCAGGTCGATCCTCTGGCCCTTCAGCTTCATGCGCCGGAATCCCGACTGTTCCAGCAGCAGGACCCCTCCATCAAGACTCTGTTCTCCATGCTCAACCCGGAGATCCCGCTGGTCGTTGGTGAAGGTGGCGCTGGACTTACCGGGGCTAGCGGCGACAGCAGCGCTGCTGGAGCGTCGAGCAGTGATGGCGCTGATGGTGACGGATCTGACAGCAACGCCAACGATGCCGCCGGCGCCGGCAGCAGCGGTGGCACTGTGCGTGGTAGCTCCGTTGGCATCGGTGTTGGTGTGGTTGCTGGTGCTGCCGCGTACGGTGCGGGTATGTTCTACGTTGCCCGTCGGTACCGGAAGCGACGCCAGATGCACCAGCGGACGAGCTCTCTCCCAGGCCAGCAGATGGGCGAGACCTCTGGCGGGTCGATTTTCCGCGCCATTTCGCCGTACAGTGGCCGCAACAGCCGTCACAGTGGCCGAAGCAACCGCACGCAGATGATCAGTGCACCAGTGATGGCCGAAAACTCTCTTGGTTGGAACTAAGCGGGTGGAAAGTGTAGCAGGGAAGGATAGACGGCAGCGTATATTGAATGTATCCGGGATTTTGTGTTGTTGTTTTTTTTTTAACACCATTTTGTATTTTCTGTGCAAAATTTACGCTTTTTAACTTTTTTTTTTGGCCCTTCTTCTTCTTCTTCTCCCATTAACCTTTCTTCTTCTTCTTCTTCTTTTATATTATTCCCCCTGATGTTTTTGTTGTGACTTCTCACCCAGTCAGTCAGTCAGTCAGACAACCAGACCGACATTATACACAGACACAGACACACACCAGTCGGTGGATTTCTTTGGATGTCGAGATTTCGTTTTACCTTTTCTCTTTTCTTTTGTGTTTTTTAGTCTCACGCGTGAGAGTGTGATTCCGCGTGTCCTGTACAGATGTATAAAGGGAGTGATTGAGTGTATGGTTGTGAGTCGAGTGGTCAGTAGTAGAGGAGGTGGACAGACAAGAAGACGGTAGGAAGAAGAAGAAGAAGAAGAAAGAGGAAGGAAGAATGAAGTGAAGTTGATTGAAGTGGATTAATTAGTAGACCGTACGTAATTTGGATGCTGTGAAGGATACCTTGGCTGTACTAACAGGCGGATAATAAGCTTATGTCTTCGTAGTAAATTAATACAAATTGTTCGAGGAGTTCAGGGTGTTAGTAAGACTTCCTATCAGACCTTCCCCTTTCTTGCCAATAAATAGATAAGCCATGTCTTTGCATTATGTGAGAAAGGACTGAAGAAACTGAGTTGAAATAATGAAGTTCTGTGGATGGTACCTTAGCAGATTCTTCTATTAGCTCGACTCAGTTACTCCAGAGTATATTTTTTTACCACGTTCTGTCATGTGCCATCCGCCTCCCACCACACGGAGAATTCTTTTTTCTTCCCCGACTACTATATACCACGTGCCAGCCCTGCACGGTTATTTACCACCTTGAAATCCTCCGCATAATATACTTCGAGAATAATAATAATCGCAACTCGATCTAGATGCAACAAGGCAAGTTGAGTGCTGCCGTTGATAAGCATCTCGACGGCGATAGGCTGCGGCCGACGCGTGGCTGCACGGCGCTTGGCTAGTCCGCTGATGTGATATGATATGATATGACAGGCACCGACGGCGCGCAGCAACGGAGACGTCAATAATAATACTAATACGGAGTAATAATGGATTCCGCGCCTTATCTTGCGTCTTGCTGGGGAATGGCTCGCTGCGAGTGGTCAGAGATAGGCATGTAACTGGCGTGGAGAGCAGATCTTGCCCTTACCTGCTGGTTGAGGGACAGACAGACAGACAGACGTTGGACCTCAGCTGGACTATTATATATCCACTGCTCTCCTGATCTTGGCTTTCTCCAGTTCGACTCTCGCTGTCTTGGCTTGTAGTCTTCTCTATCAGGCCGCATTTTCTACCTGCCATGTCATCTCCCACCGCCCCAGCCTGGCTCAACAACGGTGACAATGCCTGGCAGCTCACGGCCGCCAGTCTGGTCGGCCTGCAGAGCATCCCGGGCCTGGTGGTGCTCTACGCCGGCATCGTGAAGCGGAAATGGGCCATCAACTCCGCCTTCATGGCCTTCTACGCCTTCGCCGCCGTGCTCATCTGCTGGGTTGTCTGGGCTTACAAGATGGGCTTCGGCGAGCAATGGGGTGCTGCCCCCTTCGTGGGCACGCCCGGTCCGGTCGTCGCCATGGACTACGAGCTGCGCCAGTCGTCTCTCCCCGCTGCGGGCGTCTCTCAGGCCTTCCCTCTCTCGACCATGGTGTATTTCCAGTTCGTCTTCGCGGCCATCACCGTCGTCATCATGGCGGGCGCGTTCCTGGGCCGCATGAACTTCACTGCCTGGATGGTCTTTGTGCCACTCTGGATCACCTTTTCGTACGTCGTCGGCGCCTTTAGCCTCTGGGGCGGCGGCTTTCTCTACCAGCGAGGCGTGATCGACTATTCCGGTGGCTATGTCATTCACCTGTCGTCAGGGACTGCAGGGTTTATCGGTGCTGCGGTGATTGGACCCCGTCTGCCTCGGGACCGCGAAGACACGCGGCCGAACAACATCCTCTTCGTGCTGGTTGGCGCTGGCATCCTGTGGATTGGATGGAACGGATTCAACGGGGGGACCCGTACACGGCGAGTCCGGATGCTGGAGCAGCCGTGCTGAACACCGACATCGCGACCGCCATGAGCACCCTCGTCTGGACGATCATGGATATTATCTTCTACGGGAAACCGGCGGTGATCGGGGCGGTGCAGGGGATGATCACGGGCCTGGTGGCCATCACTCCTGCGGCCGGAGTCGTTGCAGGATGGGGAGCGGTCATCATTGGCGCCTGCTCAGGGAGCATCCCGTGGATATCGCTGAACGTGCTAGGCAAGCGAGTATCCCTATTCAAGCACGTAGACGACACGCTGGATGTATTCCACACGCACGCCGTAGCCGGCTTCCTGGGCGGATTCCTAGTCGGCCTGTTCGCGACGAAAGAAGGATGCGCCGCTTTCGCACTGACATCTCCGGGCGGCGCCATCGAAGGGAACGGGAAACAGGTGTGGCTGCAGATCGTAGGCGCGCTGTTCATCATCGCGCTGAACCTGTTCATGACGCCGCTGATCCTGTTCTTCATCAAGTACGTCCTGCGCATTCCGCTGCGCATGCCGGAAGAAGTGCTCTTGATCGGCGACGACGCCATTCACTGGGAAGAAGCGTACGGATTCACGTTGGATGCGCATCACAGCGAGACACCCGGCAGGATTGTTGGCAGTGATCCTGAGGCTGGGCGGTTGAGTCTGCCGCAGTCGATTGGGGGGAATGAGACTGAGGCGAAGTCGAATGGACCGAAGGCTGATTAGTCAAAGACAGGGTGGCGTCATGTCTAGTTCTGCCTATGAATGATATACTGTGTTTATGATTTCAGGTTTTCAATAGTCTCTAAAAATAAAAAAGAAAACAAAAGAAAAAAAGGATACAAATACTAAGATGAGAGTCTCTCTTTCTCCCTCATTTTTTTTCTTTTAATTCATTTTTAAACAGATGAACTCCTAAGACTTATTCATTTATTCTCATAAATATAAATAAAAATACAGATAATCTTAGATATTGTGCTGGCTGGCTGAGAACTTGGATCGATATATTTATTTATTTATATTTATTTAATACGTTTTGGAAATGATTGACCACTACTATACTACTATACTATACTCTATTATCAATATACCAATAGATTCTGTTGTTAGTTAGTGAGTGAGCAGTGAGTGAGTGTTTTCTTGCGAGGTGTTCTGTTTGGTAGCGTCGGGATGGGATGGGAGAAAGAAAAGATGGAGAGTTGCCATAAACGGTAATTCTTCCATCTTCCGTATTGGCAATTCCGTTTTTTTTCCCCCTTTTTCGCCCTTAGATGTCTCGAAACCTCCAGTAGTTGATGGCATGACAGAAGCTAATATAATTAAGTTGATATTATCAGATTATCCATCTATTCAAACATATACACACCTACAATAACTATTACTATTATACTATTATACTGACTGATAAAGGCTATCTATTAACTACATAACTATCGAAGAGGCTATTATTTGTAATTTAGTAATTTGAAGAAGTCCAGGCAGCCTGTAGGCAGGCAGGCAGGAGAAAGAGGAGGCATTAACCAGCAGGTATCAATCATACTAGAGGTTCACTGGATAACCTAGGTTTTCTTTTTTTTTTGTTGCCCCAGTTTGTTTGACAGGAGGGAAAGAGGTAAAGCAGGGAAAGAGGGAAGGGAGGAAAAGAAGAGTCGAGTCAGAGTTAAGAATATATCATTAGATTAGACTTACGGAGTATTTTGTTACAGACTCGACCAAAAGAACTGTCAGTATTCGCTTCTCAGCGAATCTGCATCAGGGTATGCGGCCAGTAATTAGACGTGATGATGTGGCTGAAGTCTATATTAGACATATACCCATGTTCTCTCTCTTTCTACATAGTACAATGACACATGTCATATGTATGTATGTATGTATGTACACCTGTGTAATGAATGGCTATGACTATCCCCCCCAAACCTTGGCAATAAAATCGCACACATCCTTCTTCAGCGTCGAGGGCTGTTCCATCGCCGCAAAGTGGCCTCCCTGCGAGTTAGCCACGTCAATTAGCTGATTCATACCACAATGCGAGGTGCATGTATGAATGTATGTAGGGTACAAACCTGAGTATGCTCTCGATAAAACACCAAATTCCCCGTCGTAGCCGCCCAGCTACGAGGAATGGGCGCCAGTTCCTTCGGAAACCACGAGTAGCCAAAGGGCTTGTGGATGTACCACTGCGGTTTTTCGTGTGCGCTGACGGTGCCGGGGGTGAAGAGCTGCGACGTCAGTCAGTGACAGTTCGCGAGAATTATTACGACGGATGAGATGGGATGACTACCTGCCGATATGGATAAATCGACCGAGGTAATGTCTCTGTCAGCCAGTAGAGCGTCACAGACTCCAGTATCAGGTCCGTCGGGGGATCAGCGTCTGTCCAGTCGAGGAATTTCTCTGCTATCCTAGCAATGGCAGTTAGATTTTGAATCTATCTCATCTGGTAAGGTTTCTACGAACCATGCTAACAGCGCCAACGGGCTTGATGACAGTACAAGACCGATCGTGCTCGGCCGCGTGGCTTGTTCGAGCGCATACGCACTTCCTAGCCGGTGGAACTCGGATAATCGCATCATGCCCTGCCGCTCGATGTCATCGAGCTGGTTTGTATCGATGTTTTTGGGCTGGGACATGATGCAGAAGTTGACTGAATCAGCATCAGCATCAGCATCCTCAAAAAATGAAATAAGGATGTTCTAAAACTTACGGTGAACAGCTGTCAAATCAAGTCATTTAGCATGTTGAGCTTCATCTGGAGATATCTCTGACTGCTGTACACACCTCTACAAGCATCATGCTCAGCAGCCATCACCCTCGCAACCTTACTTCCAATATCACCTCCCTGCGCGACATAGCCGTTTCCGAACCCCAACTCCACCATCAACGCGTTCATCACGCGGGCAACGTCCTGGATCTGAAAATCCCTGTCCAGCGGTGGAGGCGACGAGAACGCGTACCCAGGCAAGGAGGGCACGACGATATGATACGGGAGATTATCCGGGGCAAACTCGTCTCTGAAGAGGGAGAGGATGGGGAGGAATTCTAGGAAACTGCCTACAAAAAAAAACGTACGGATCAGTAGGTTCCTTTTCTTTGTATCGTCTGGAGGAGTCATACCAGGCCACCCATGCAGAAAGATCAACGGCACCGCATCCCGTTTCTGCGAAAACAGCGCCACGAAATGGATCTCCAGTTCAACGGAGTCGTTGTCGAGGACAGTCCGGATTGGGATCATGAACTGCGGGAAGGAATTGATGTGCTTCTCGCACCGGCGCCTGCAGAGTCCACAAATAACTCAGATAAGAACGTTTCTACATATCCAAGGTTGAGGACAAACCAGTCGAACTTCTCCCACCGCGCCTTGGCCTCAGCCATCCACTCCCTAGACACTCCGTACCGGCGGTTGCTCTGCTGATTCTCGTACGTCGCGGGTGCGAGCGGCGACAGGCGGACGAGCTTCTGCAGCTCGGCCAGTTTGGTGTCTGGAACGGAGACGTGGAATCGCGACGGGGTGGTTTTTCCCGCGAAGCTGGGGGGCAGGCCATCGAATGTGGATGCCATGTTGATAGCAGTTGAATAAAATGGTTCTTGTTTCAAATTTTTTTACTAAATGTGGAAGTAATTCACGGGTATGTATATGTGTTGCATGTTGTTTGATAGGTAATAGTATAGTATAACGTCATGATGATCCGGCCGTGGATGTGGGCTTGTACAGTAGAGTACCTGTTGCTTGCTAGCAGAGGGGCACTCCATTCTTGTTTGCAGCTGCTATACGCACAAACTCTGGCGTAGGATGAGTTGATAGATAGATAGTATTAGATTCTTTTGACCTATTTTTGTCTGATGATTGCCATTCCTATGCACCTTCCAGGCGGAATTCCATCCGTATATCTTCCTGACCATGCCGTATTCTTTGCAATAGGTATGTACAGGTACAAACATACTTCACAATATAATTTCTCCTATGTACAGTACATACAGTACATACATCCTTCCAGATGTATAAATAATAGGCATACGTCAAACAAGTAGGAGAGATTGTAGCTGCTGAACATGTCCATCTGTCTCCAGCATTATCTGCGTACGTATGTATGTACAGTATGTACTGTACATGTACTGTACAAGCCATTTTAAATACTACCCAATCAGGCAGTCGACCGTGCAGAAGCCCTAGCTGGCTGAATCAATCCGAACGGTCTGTTCATCCAGCACTCACTGGTCTTGATTATATTTATGCGTCATCGATTATTACTCTGGACTCTTGAAGCAAGCTTCATATCTTTAAAGGAGGAAATGCGCAAATATGGAAACTAATGTTTTTTTTTTGAGTGATGATGGCTGCAGCTGCAGGACGGATATCAATAGCTGTTAATATTACTCTGTTTGATACTTCATCACTACAGTATACTATTTATTTTATTATTCCTTTTCATCTCAATGATTGCATTGATCGTATTATATTAATTCGAGATCAGATCCTTTCTCATCATATCTGAAATTGGTAGGTGTAGTAGTGCAGTACGTTTGTAGGTAGGTACTATATAGTATCCATGTGTATGTATGTACTGTACAGTACCTGTGTACAGTAGAGTGCCTGCGTAATGTAAATGTACCACATAGGTATCTACCTACCTACCTACCAGCATGACCAGCCTGACCAGAACAACATCCCACAGAGACAGAAAGATAAATAAATCAAAGAATAACACAGAGAGGTAAAAAGAGAAAAAAAATTAATTAAACACCTCAGAAGCATATCTATCCTATCCTATCCTATCGTACGTATCCTATCGTATCATGTCATGCATGTCTATCATTCATCAAGATTCGTCCTACAGAGACGGTTGGTTATACAGATACCTCAATCACCCTCTCCACCACCCAGTCTACTGCCGCTTGTACCTCGCATCGCCACTGCCCCTCGCGCCAGACATCTACCAGCCAGTATCGCCATCGTCGACGCCAGGGCTGTTTGCCCTGAAGGCTGCTCAGACTGGTCGTTAGCTGGGAATCCCACTCCCAGGCGGACGCTTCGTCGGAACCCTTCCCATCGCCCGTGTTGTTTCCCGATGATACTGCTACGTCCGACTTGGCCAGTCCCTGACGTCGCAGCCACTCGCGTTCTGCTTTCTCGCCTGCTCGCTGCGCCACGGCCTCTTCGTCCTCTGCTAGGTAGAGGTCGCATTTGTTGCATTCTGTGCAGCGCGTCCCGGGGTTGATGCGGAAGTGCTCGCAGAAATGCTTGTAGCCTTCTCCTTCCTCCTCTTCCTCCTCCTCTTCTTCGTCGCCTTCGTAGTTGTAGTATCGTGGTTCAGCCCGAACAGGCCGGCCTAACGCCTTCCGGCAGAGATAGCACATCGAATACCCGCACACGCAGGTCAGCTTGTTGCAGCCAGACGACTTGACGAACGACAGCCCGCATCGCGGACACGTCCGCTTGATCGCTGCCGTCCGGGCCGCCTCGACGGTCGTCCGCAACGACTGCAACAGCGGCTCATCGCAGACGTGCGGGTCACGCCACGCTTTGTGGCAGGTGATGCAGCTGGCGCGCCCGCAGGACGGATTCCGGCACGAGAACCGCCGACTGCGCGTCCGCAGCCCCAGATTGCGTAGCGAAGTCCGGAAAATCGCGGCGGGCGCGGGCGGACAAAAGATATACAGGACGATAACGGGTATGATAAGCAAGGGTATCAGATCGAGAAGGAAAATGGTCATCAAGATGGTAACCCACAGATTATTCTTCCTCTGGCGGAGTCGGAATCGCCACGCGATCCCCCCGGCCGGCGGGTGATATACCGGGTCGACTTCGGCGTACGAGCAGAACGGGCAGCGGACCAGCTTCAACTGCGACTTGAGCAACGCCTCCGAGGCCAGCCGGTCCTCGAACTTGCGGAACGTCTCGAAGCCCGCTTTGTCCGATAGGATGGCGCTCTTCACGCGCTCCGGGTCCAGAGAGCCCTCACACGACCCATGAGTTAACGGGGCCAGACACTTCAGCGTCGACTTGCCCGGGTCGATGGACTTGTCCCAGCCCTGGCCAAACAGCGCCTCGTGGAGCGTCCGCCGGATGCAGCTGTAGCAGATAATGTGTGCGCTGGCCGAGCAGGTCGCGATCTGCTCAAACGTCACGTCCGCGAGACAGCATTCGCATTCGTAGAGCGCGCCCACCGCTTTGGCTTCGCTCTCGTTCAGTTCCTCCGCCAGCTGCAAATCCCGACTCTCCTGCGCCTCGCGCTTCTGCCGGAGGATCGGCGCCACGAGAGTGTCGTACAGCTCCTGGTCCAGCTCCTTACATCCCGTCTCCTTCAGCCGCGGCACCAGATCGCCGTCCGCAGTGCGATTCCAGCTCAACATCGGATGGTCGTCCTTGTCCTTTCTGCGCTTGAAGGAGGGGAAGAGGTTGTTGAAAGTGGCCCGCCAGCTCTTGCGAGACAGCTCCTGCAGCGTCGGGCGGGCACGGGTGTAGGAGAAATTGGCCTCTGCGAGCACCGCGTCGACCGTGCTGCGACTCAACGCGCTGAACTCCTTGGACAGCGCGGCCTTGACGGCGGCTTTGTATTCCTCACTCCGGAACTGCTCTTCAGGAGGCACCAGACTGACGTCGTCTCCAGCAATTCTTGCAGCTTCCCTCCCCTCGTTACCCTCCGTCTGCTCCACCGGTACGTTCCATCTCCCCCGCACCCATTCCTTCTTGTGCCTCAGCAGCTGCTCGACGCAGACCTGAAGCCGGCTCTTCCCGTCAAAGCGAGTCAGCAGCTCGCGGAAGACCTCGATCTGCACGTCGGGGAACAGCTGCGCCAGCGTGACCAGGGCGCTGTTGAGTTCCTGCAGCTCCCGCTGCTGCTCGTCCTCCTGGCGAACGAGCGCCAGCGCCTCGAGCGCGCGGGACCGCGAGGTATTCCCAAAGGGGTTGTTGCGCAGGGCTTCGGCGAGGGTGGTCGAAGTCGACGTCACAGCCGAAGTCACAGCCGTATTCTTAGGGAGAGCTCCTCCCCCGCCTTTCTTCTCGCTAATCGCATGAACATCGCTGCTGCTGCTGCTGCTGCTGCTGTTGCGGAGGGGAGCGGCGAAGCTCGGCACTGGCAGGGGGAACACCATCTTGGCGGGACTGGCGATTTTGTCTTGCTACATGTCGGATGGAGTCGTCGGCTGGAAGGATTCAAAAGGTCGACCTGTAGTTGCTTTCAAATCGTCGAGAGTACTCCGTATTAAGTGAAAGTCGGTCGGTCGTACGATGTGGGGGACAGGCGGCCTGATTGGGTTGGGTTGGATCGAGTCAGTCGTCAGTCATTGACGTGGACTGGCCAGCATTGCGTGGCTTGCAGACCCGCATGCGAGAGAGCTGTCGATTCTCGATAAGGTGCTGTCAGATGAAAATGTCTCGAGATGGTCCGCTAGTTGACTTGACACCAGACGCCAGACGCTAGATACCCACGTATGCCTGAGTCAGGCGGGAAGAACACGTGATGAGACAGTGATCTGGAACTGTCGTTATCCCGTTCCGGCATGGACGAGACGTAAGCGGAGTATCGATCTACAAAATACCATACTGTGATTGTCAGATCTAATAAAGTCGAGGACTGATCTAATCTAGAAACAAAACCCAAACGCCATCCACACACGTCCTGCACTCTCTAAAAAATAATAATAATGTCTCAATGCAAATAACTAACAGCCGCCCAATTTCCCATCCTTGATCCTGATGCTCATCCCAGATTGTACAGTACAGTACAGTACAGTACAGTAAAATGAAAGAACTGTCCGTATCGAATACAAAAGAAAAGAAAAGAAAAGAAACGAAAACGAAACATAAATACAAACGCCAGGAGAAGAGTGAGTCTAATCAAATCAAAAACATCCATTCAAATCCATCCATCCAACGGGTCATTATTTCACGAGGATAAAATAAGATAATGTCGTATCATAAACTCATTCATGAAATTCATCACGGGGGTCAGGTTGTCCAACAGAGAGAGAAGAGAAAGGAAGAGAAATATCCCTAAGGACCGCTCCTACAAGGCAATCTTGAGAATCCTATCCTCATCATACTCCTGCTACCGCCCCATCAAGGCCGCCCGCAACCCAACATTCACAACAACCCCACACCATAAGCAGGCACAATCTTACCCATGCGCGCAAACGAGTAAGCTCCGCGTATTCCATTTTGCCTGTTGTTGTATTTGTATCTTTTGGCAGTGGCAGTGAGCGTGACGGATTGGGGAGGCGGGGGACTTGCGGAGACATTATTATAGTAATATCGAGTCAATTGAGATAGAGACGAAAAAAGATTTTTTTTAAAAAAAAAAAGGAGAATAGCGAATAGAATAGCTCTAAATTGACCATGTCATCGAGACTGTCATTCATTCCATAAACCGAGCCAACCGACAGTGTCACAGACAGCATCGAGCTGAGTGAGAGAGTAGTTGAACAACGGGAAAGGACAGATAAATAAAAGGAGAAAAAAGAAAAAAAAAAAAGAAAGACAGTTTATGACGATTAAAGAAAGATTATTATTATTATTATTATTATGAATCATCCCCATCCCGAAAAACGGAGCTCCGGTTCTCCTCTGTATTCTATTGCGACAAGAGATGAAGCTGAATCATCTCATCCTGCAATCCTGACAATCTGATAATCTGATAGGTCAAGTCTGTCGTCATCCGGCCGGCAGGCTCGCCGATTAGGTAGCTCGCCGATAGCCGATTGCGCTAAGCCATTTCTGGCAAGGAAGCTCGGACGGATTGCATCTCCACGCGGGATAATCAATTATCAAGCAAGGATATAATCTACAACCAATTCACAATGGATTCTATTTTCTAGCACAGTAGTACTATACATGTCGAGACATGTTCAAAGACAGACACCCTATAGACAGGAACAGACAGAAAAAATATGTATAATGTATAGTTAAAAAAAATCATGGACTTTTTCTTATCAAACCCTCATAACGCCCGACATATAACCAAACAGAAAAGAACTCATGAAAAAATCTTGTGAGAACATTGCATTGGCTCAAGATGATACATCATATCATACAGTGGAGTTGCTCTCTGACGCTGTAGAGGCCTGGTTGACGGCTTGGAAGTCATCCAGCGATACATTGACGGCACCAGCTTGGACCAGCTGTAAGATAGCCATGTTAGCTTACGGTCATGACCAGGTTTTGCGATCTACTTACCGCCCGCCTCAAATCGTCAATCAAATCATCGACATCCTCAATGCCCACGCACAACCGGATCAGATCCTCCGGCATGGCTCGCTCCTGTCGCGTCTTGGCGTCGATGCTGGCGTGACTCATCCGGCATGGCATGCTGATCAGGCTGTTGACACAGCCAAAGCTGACGCTGATCGCCCACAGCTTGGCGCTCTCGACGATCCGCTCGCTCAGCGCGACGTCGCCCGTCTCGAAGGACAGCACCGCCCCAGCGCCCCGCGCCATGGAGTGGTGCAACTCGTACTGGGGATGTGAGCGCAGGCCCGGATAGCGCACCTTGAAGCCGTGCGACTCGAGGAATTCGGCAATCCGCTGCGCATTGGCTTGCTGCTGCTCCATCCGCACCTTGAGCGTCTTGACCCCGCGCATCAGCAGCCACGAGTCGAATGGCGAGAGTCCACAGCCCGATGCGTTGATCGGGAAATAGAGTCGCTCGCCGAGGGCTGCATCGTTCACGGCGATGACACCCGCCATCAGGTCATGGTGTCCCGACAGATACTTGGTGCCGCTCTCGTAGACAATATCCGCACCCAGCTCGAGCGGGTTGAGCAGCAGCGGCGACATCATGGTGTTGTCGACGACCACCAGACAGTTCGGATTGGCCTTGTGAGCGAGCGCGGCGACCTTGGGGATGTCGACGATCTTGATCAGCGGGTTCGTCGGCGTCTCGAGCAGCACCATGGCCGTCTTAGAATTGAGGACCGCCTGGACACATTCCGGCCTGGTGGTGTCGACGTGATGAACGACGATGCCGCCGTGCGTCGTGAGGTATTTCAGCAGACGGTGCGTGCCGCCGTACAGATCGTCGCCGGTCACCACCTCATCTCCCGGATGCAGCAGTCGCGTGATGACATCCAGCGCTGCCATTCCCGACGAGACCACGAGTGCGCGCTGCGCAGACATGATCTTGGCGAGATGTCTTTCGAGATGCGTCCGGGTGGGATTGCCCGAGCGAGTGTAGTCATACTCTCCGCCTCCGGCGCCCGAAGTCTGCTTGAAAGTAGCACTCTATTTACGACGCACATCACCAGTCAGCTGGTTTTACAGCAACATTGTTGCAAAATACAACACTCAGAGGAAGAGCTACCTGGTAAATCGGCACACTGCTCGCATTGTACTGGTCGTTGCCCTCCGTATACACCAATTCCGTGGCAAGGGCGTATCGCCGTCCCGTCCGTGGACTGGACGGTGCTGGCGACGGCGGCAGATTGTGACCGTCGAGATCGACGTCCGGGAAGACCTTCTTCAGGACGTTGTTGGTTGTTGTCGTCGTCGTCGTCGCTGCAGCGCCGGAATCAGCGACACCGCTGGAGACCTCCGATCCGGATGCCGACATCGCAGCTGCAGGGCGGGGTTAGGAGGGCGGCGTGTAGGAAGGGTGGGAGTAAGCAAATTCGGGGGGAAAGACGGGCATAAAACCAGGGCGAGGGAGGGCAATTCCACTGCGATTCTGGGAACGAGGTGCTCATAAATAAATTGAAGGAGAGAGGACTGGCATCCTTATAAATCGAGCCGGATGACTGAACTCTGTCGCGGAGATCAAAGCCAGCAATCCACGCGAGACTGACCGCTCCGCGGCTGCGGCGCCGCTGATTGGCTGCCTCCAGCGCAATTCTTTGCAGGGGCGATTCCGTCATCCGCGCTAGCCGTGTTGGGTAGTCCTACGTCGCGGAACGGATACAGGCATGTCAGTACATTGCACAAAGCATCCTGTTTACCATTATACATGATTTTTTTTTCTTTTTAACAATATACACGTCTGGATATACGAGGTACCGTGGCCAGCACGGTTTCGATTCCATCCCATTTTTATTATTTAACAGGCTACAACTGCAGTAGCAATAGCAAAAAACAAAAGCCCAAATCCCGATTTTCAAACCCATATCACCGATTGCAGATTGTTTTCCGGTCCGAAGAAATAATAATGGACAACCCTTCGACTACCTTACCCAACCTTTTGTTTTCCATTCTGCGAGCCAGTAAAGAACACACACAATTGACAAGATTACTAGCAAAGAAAAATGAAAAATTCACAAGACCACAAGCTCGACCGGACATGTGAAGTTGTCGGGCAATATTCTTGACTGGTCGCAAGAACAGAACCAGACAGACAGATTATGTACCAGGCCAATTGTGAATATAGACACCAAAGATAGAGATAGAGCCGTAAATAGTATTAAATCTCACAAATGGAGTGAGATTTGGAAAGACAACAAACCGTATAAGACAGACCGCAGTCAGAACCCAAAATTAACCCCCCAAAGACGAAAAATTATTGTACTGTACATCGATTGCAAGATGGATGCAGAATCTGGCTGCTGAACGCAGGAACGGGAGCCAACGCGGAAGGTGTCAGCTAGTGGTCATGGGGTCGGACATGAGATCCCCAAAGCCACCATTAATGCCAAAGAATTGGAACCTGAAGGATGCATGTCAGTAAGAATCAACCTCAACTATGGGATAGTTCATACCAATCTTCGACATTCAACGTCGTTGGCGCCGTGGGGCCATTCCCGCGAGAGCTGTTGCTCCAGCTGTCATCCTGGCTCGACGCTTCCATGGCTGTTCCGGCCAGGGCTGCGTCGAGATTCTGCCATGATTGCTGATTGTCCATTCCAAACACTTGCTGTGATTGCTGCGGGTTCTGCATGCCACCACCCAGTTCAGGGGCTACCCCAGACATGAGAGACGGGCTACTCTGGCCCCCCTGGACGTTGCGCGACTGCAGTCCCTGATTGACCATCATCGGTTGCTGCGACACATTCTGCCCTTGGACATGCGAAGGCATCTGCATCTGAGGGTCCGCCGTATTGACCTCGGGGGAAGAAAGCGTGGGGAAAAAGTTCGTGCCATCGGGAAACAGCAGATCCGGCTGGAAATTCTCCCAGACCGTCGGTGAGAGATTCGGTGAATTCCGCGTCACCAGGAACAGGTCAGGAGGCGTGGCCGGTATCGAGAAAGGCTGGTTAAAAGGTGTTGTCGGCCTGGTGTTCCCACGGGTGCCCCCCGACCCTTGAAACCCATCCGGTGGTGCCTTCTGCGTATTCGGAGATGCCTGCATTGTGGACTGCGCGGAATGCTGGCCCAGCTCGCGTGATGGTGTCGCAGCAGGCGTCTGCGGCCGGGAACGTTCATAGGAAACTGGAGGTGTAGGCCCACCATTGGGTCGTCCAATGTCCATATCGTCAAATTTACGTTTGAGCGTTTGCGTTTCAGTTTTCTTGGCCGGAGCAAGGTGGTTGTTGTTGTTGTTGTTGTTGTTAGTGTTATTGTTATTGTTGTCGTTGTCGTCCTTGCTGTTGCTGTTGTTATTGTTGTTGTCAGGACGACTCTGAGGCTTCTGATGTCGCTTCCAAGGCGCCTTCTGAAGACGCTCCTCCAGCACCTTGTTGCCTAGAATGGACTCAAACAGTGTGTGAACCATTTTCGCCACCAGCCAGACTTTTGATACGTCCTTGAGTGCCTGCATGCAGATACTGATTCGTTCTTGACACGTGGCGACCACGGACGGCACAGACGAGCGCATCTGGTAGACGTGCATGATCAAGGCGGAAAAGAGACTGTAGACGATGAATGCTGGCGTGTACCGGATCTCGCCGTTCGACTGTAACTTCTCCACGATCGATGTGATCATCCCAGCAGCTTGGAAGGCAATCGTACGGGAAGGGTAAGCCATCTCTTCCCCACGGTAGCCATGGGAAGCGGGCGGCATATGGGCCCGATGTAACAGGCACAGCTGGTACTGCAGCAAGTCAGTCACTTCCCTCCGCTATTGCCAACAAGGGAGGGGGATACTTACTAGTAATTGGAGTGGAGCAGGGCCGCCCAGAAATGGTGTCGAGATCGCTCCCAATATACCTCCTTGGGACAGTTCTGCAGCCAATCCGCCAAGGCCATGTCCGAATGAGTCAGGTCGATCGCATTCGTGCGCCTCGACTTGGAGGCTACAGAATACTGCTGCGACAAGACAAGGCCCATGATCTCACACAGCTTAACATACTGCAAGAAGAACTGGACGTGGATCGGATCGGGGGGATATTCGGCGGGATGATCGTCTTCGTCCTCGATAAAGTCCTCCTCCGTCAGCATCTCCACATCGGAATCGTCAATGTTGATGTTGATAGGTCGCCCCAGCGCCACTGCCACGGAGCGATCGCGCGTGAACAGCGTCCACCAGATCCGCCTCCACAGTCGCTTGTCGGCTTTGCTAAGCTGGGAATTCTCCACGCTGCATGTCCGCGTCAGGAAACGAGTCTATAGATGCGTCTACTCAAAATGGCAACAGCCCACTCACCTGCGATGCATGCCGGAACCCTGCGCGACTATGATCGCAACTCGGCTCCAGTAGAAGACGTTCTTGGTTACGTCTGGGCACGGATGTCAGAAAATAACTGGAACAAGGAGGAGGTGAAATATGGTTACTCACCTTCGGGACCTTCCCAATACCACCCCATTAGCACCAAGGCCTGGACGATCGTGACTCGATCGTCCTCGTAATTGGCATCATAGAGGGCCTTGGCCCGCTTGTAGAAGGTCATGGAGGCGGGAATCGTGGATCCGTTCTGATCCATCAGCTGCGGGTTGGTGCATACTCTGGATCCAGCCAGGAGGACAGCCTGCAGCAGGAGGAGCGACGGCGGATTCTTGGGGTCACGATATTGGCGCATAAAGCGACTGCGGTTGATGATGGGCACGACGGGCGCCACCCATTTGAAATAGGCCTCAACGAGCTCATCGCACAGATGCCGGGGCGGGAGCAAGAACGCTCCGCGCTGATGGAGGATGTCGATCTCCAGGTTGTCCAGCTCGGTCAGCCGGGCTCGGCTGCCTCGAATGTTCTCGGGCAGCGGGTAGTGGACGACATCAGTGTTGCCCCGGTCGTGAACCAACAGGGACAGGTTCGAGGACTCGCCCAGGTAGGCTACCCTTCCCGCTTCTTTGATCGGAGCTCTGGCAAACTTGGGCTTCATGAACTGAGTGTACGTCTTGGCCGTATTTGCTTGCTGGTCCTGCTGCGCGCTGGTCAAGGTCGTCGCCGGCATGCCGTTGATCGACATGGGAGGATTGGCTGGGAAACCCTCCCTGGGGCGAGGCTCCTTTGCATCTGCATTTTCGCCGGATTGATTGCTTTATACGACACACCAGACGGTCAGTTCGAGATCCGACGAAGAGCATCCAACCTCCGAGCACATACCCCGTGGCATCCCTGGTCTTCAGCTGCTGCTGGTTCTTTTTCCGCTTGGGGGTCGGAATCCGGCATTCGATGGAGAAGGCGACACAGTTGGTGCAGGGCACCCCGAGGCTGGCAGCGTCACATCGTACCTGCACGTCCGACCGATCAGCAAAGCCCAGGATAACGACGCCAAGCCCGGCGGGTCACCAGCATCAGAAACAGGGAGAACACGGGGGATTCGGACCTTTCGCGCATGGCAAGTCTGTCGACAGCCGAAGTTCGCAGATTCACGTGTCAGCAGAGCAGTTCTGTATCATTGCGTGCGTTGGGGGGCTTCTTGTGCAGCAGGGTGCGGTGGACGGAGACGCACGAGCAAGCCGGCGACAAGAGATGCCGAGGTTCACAGCCCTCGACCTCCTGGCCGCGCGCTCGCCTGGGCGCCGGGAAGACGTACCTCGCATGCTCGCGACGCGCGCTGCCTGCAATGTGATTTGATAAGCCGTTAGCGATAAATCTCGCGATACAAGAAGTATCCCTCAGCCCGGGGGGTTTTTTTTTCCTCGCCAGCGACGCCCACCACCGCTTCCTCTCCGCATGGCCGGGGCGGGGACACAAGAAGAACGAATAACTCTGGCACTGCGGGGACCAACCTTCTAAAGCTCGCGACGCCGGAATTGGGGATTCTGCGCGATGTGCTGTTACTCCCGGTCTTAGTGCTGCTGGACTGGCTGGCAGCAGGACTGGGTGCCGCCCCTGGTTGATTTGCTGGGGGAGGATCAGGTTGAGACTCGGCCATTATGGCGGGGAATAGGCAGGCTCCATAAAGCCCGCGAGCTGTGCGATCTCGAGCGAAGGATCACCGCGGGGCACAGACGGTAAAAAAGGCGAAGAAAGGAGGAAGAAAGAAAGAAAGAAACGAGAGGAACTGGAGGAGTCGGGTTCGAGAGGACGGTATCGTGTCGCGCAGTCGTTCCTATACTAAGAGACGATGCCTGACGCGGGTAGAAGCGATCGGGTGCTTACGGTCCCAGAAAAAAAGCCGCGTGGGGGATAAGCACAGGTCCGGAGGGCTGGGCGGTGGCGGGAGGGCAGAGGTGAACAAGTCCGGGGTAAGGAGCAGAGCAGGATGAATACGGAGTAATGAAGAGTATCGTCTGGAGGTGTGGACGCTGGTAATTTGATGGTGAGGAGCTAGCTGAGCGGTCCGTGGCAATAGAGTCCACCCAACTAAAACAGTAGACCCAACACAGGGGACGAGACAAGACAAGACAAGAAAGACACCACGAGCCTTTCTGCAGAATACGTCAAGTCAAACAGCAGCTCAACCTGAGCCCGTCTCGTGAGGATTCGGTTGTTCTAGGAATTGGGTCTGCAGCCTGCGCCTCGACGGGTGCGGGAGGGAAGCACGAGGGGGAAGCTTACAGTCTCCAATAATAACTCAGGCGTAACTAATTTCAGAGCCAGAATAGCCGTTAGGAGTTAGCTGAAAACGCCATTCAGCAATAATACCTAATTCCAGCCAGGCAGGCAGATCATGCGGGGGATCTGTTAGACTGTTCGGGAGACAGCCCCGTGACAGGATAGCAAATAATCTATTGGAATTAGTCGCAAGAACAATACGATTGCTCTGTAATACCTTTTTCCTTGCCAAGAATTCTCCTGAATGATGCTGTTCGTAGGAATTGATTTATTTAATAAATATTCCACTATATCGATGCAATCACTGGTCTCCTTGGATTCAGAGAGTCTATGCTCTCGACCTTACCAAGGTCTAACTTTGGCCAAAGTAACTCCAGTGAATCAAGATACTCTTTTTGTTTCTCACTCTTTCTCTTCTTCCATTTCTATTCATTTATTTATTTTATCTCCCACAAGGAGGGTTGCACATGGCTGATGCAGTGCAGGACAGTACATACACTTACTGCATATAATATGTAGGGTTCCCGCAACGGCTTGTACATAGTGCTTCATACCGTATCAATCAATCAATGAATAAATCAACTCAACAGTTTTCTCAAACCTGACTACTGCAAATTGGTAAATTTCTCCTGATCAGGACATGCAATTTCCTTGTCCTTGATTCAAAAAAAAGGAAGAAAGAAAAGTCACCCACTGCCCCGTCCAGAACAGTGGAAATGGAAAAAATAGAGGTAATGGAGGAGGACTCCTCGACCGTTACACAACAACAAGGAAAAAAAGAAGGGGGGGCTTCCCTTTCCTGGTTGGGATGCAAGCTTTACTTCTTTGAACTTGATACGCTATCCACTCGGCTTGCTAGTCTTCTTAGACAACACAGAGTTGGCCCCGAAGTGTATGTTCCTCTGTGCTTCTAGAAGACTGCATGGGCTATTGTTGCTCAACTCGCAGTGATGAAAGCGGGAGGGGCGTTTGTTTCTGGGGACCCCTCGCACCCGGCGGAGAGATTGCGGAATCTGAT